GACCCAGCAGCAGTTCTGCTGCTTCTTTCAGGCGAACTTTGTAGATAAACTGGCCCCGCATAACTCCGAGTTGCTGCTGCAGCAGCAGCAGCAGCCTCAGCTGCAGCGGGAAAAGGAAGGGGCAGGCAAACACCAAACGCCTCAACCAGAAAGGTGTTCTGCCGTGGCACGTCACAGCAGCAACGGGGTCAGCCAAGACAGCCCCAGCTTTTGTTGATACGCTACTCCAGCAAGAAATATCTACTGCTGCTGCTGCTGCTGCTGCTGCTGCTCCTGCTGCTTCACCTCCATTGCTGTTGCACAGACCCAGAGGATGCTCACACAAACCCCGTGAAGAAGCAGCAGCTCGGCATAGAGTTGCTGCATCTGCTGCTGCTGGGTCTGAGTCGTTGCCATTGCTGCTGCTGGAGATAGAAGCATATGCATACAGCCGCGGCAGCTGCTGCAGCAGGTTGTGCACATACAGCAACAAAACCACAAAAGGTGATGCTGCTGCTGCTGCATCTTCAAACACGTTCGGCAGCAGCAAGTCCCCATCTGCTGCTGCAGGTACAGCAGCAGGAGCAGGAATTACAGGCCTTGCTGNTTCGGCAGCAGCAAGTCCCCATCTGCTGCTGCAGGTACAGCAGCAGGAGCAGGAATTACAGGCCTTGCTGCTTCCCCCTTAGCTGCAGCAGCAGCATGAGTCTGCTCACCCCTGCTGCTGCTGCTGCTGCTGCTGCTGCTGCTGCTGCTGCGCCGCGTAACACTCACACCTGCTGAAGGAAGTGCGTAGAAGAGAGGAGCAGCTTCATCTGTGGCTGCATGCAGCAGCAAGTCAAGACGATGCCAGTTGCTGCAGTCCCCCTGTAGATATGCTGCTGTTGCAGATGTTTCTATCTGGGTACGAGACACACACCACCCAGCCAGATCCTCCAACACTTGCTGCTGTCGCTGCTGCTGCTGCTCCTGCTGCTGCTGCTGCTGCTCCTGCTTGTGCAGCTCTTTTGACTCGCAGCACGTTGCAGCAACACCACGCTTCTGCTGCTGCTGCTCCTGCTGCAGCTGCTGCAGCAGCCGCTCGGCACCCAAAGCAGGATGCACAAGAGAGGTGACAAGCGGNGCTCCTGCTGCAGCTGCTGCAGCAGCCGCTCGGCACCCAAAGCAGGATGCACAAGAGAGGTGACAAGCGGTGTATCCCGGCCCAGCCGAAGACCCTCAGAAGTGGGCAGCTCGTTGCCGCTGCTGCTGCTGTTGCTGCTGCTGCTGCTGCTGCTGCTGCTGCTGCTGCTGTCGCGCGTCCTTGGTGAGGCTGGAAGTACTAAGTAGTCAATGGTGTGGGCCTTGTCCCAAAGGGACTTCCCCTGAGCTGCTGTTTCTGCTGCTGCTGCTGCTGCTGCAGTTGGTGCTGCTGCTGCACCACACTCTTCAGCCATGATGCAGAATCTCCCACTGAGATCCACCTGCAGCATCTCCCCGCTGCTGCTGCTGCTGCTGCTGCTGCTGCTGCTCTGCCTTCTACTTCCCGTGCTGCTTGTCGCGGGAGCAGAAGCAGCAGCAGGAGGGTCAGCGCCTGTTGTTTGTGGCGTTGCATCAGCAGCAGCAGCAGCAACAGAAAGAGGTCTCCTAGAATCGAGGAATGCCGGCAGTGCATCTACCTCTCCGCGCTGCCTCGCTGTGCTGCTGTTGCTGCTGCTGCCGCTGCTGCTGCTGGGGAAGAGATCAGCCAACAACGCCGTAGACAGCAGCATCTCAAAGGTGCTGCTTCCTCCCTGCAGCATCTGCTGCAGTCTGCGGTAAGCCGCCCCACTAGCTGGAGTGAACCACCCGCTCGTCCTGCTGCTGTCACGCCAGCTGCTGCTGCTGCTGCTGCTGCTGCGCTTGCCGAGAGCCACACAACCCCCATACAGATTAAGCGCCTCCATTACAGGCATATGAGGCGGCACAGGCACGGAGTGTACGTACAGCTGGATAGCACCCAAGGCTGCAGGGTTATTCCTACTGCAACTGCTGCTGCTGCTGCTGCTGCTGCTGCTGGGATCCGGGGAACCTGCAGCTGCACCGGGAGCTGCCTCTTGCTGCTGCTCCGCAGCAGCACGCTGTCGTACAGGCGTAGCACGCGAAGGAGTTGCTGCATCTGCTTGGACTGTTTCTGCTGCAGCAGTGGTAGCAGCAGCAGGAGCTGCTGCTGCCGCTTCTGCTGCAGCACCTTCGCGCTGCAGCGGCTCCTCCTGCCCTTCTCTCTCAGGGCCTGTTGCTGCCTCGTCGTCGCTGCTCCCCTCGCTGGGGCTGCTGTTGCAGCTGCTGTTGCTGTTGCTGCTGCTGTCGCTGTCTCCTAGCTCTTCTCCCTCAAATATCACCGCATTCTCCCCCTCGCTGCTGCTGCTGCTGCCGCTGCTGCTGCTCAGAATCTCCTCGTCGCTATACTCGGGATCGTCGTCTCCAGAGGGCCTCCCTACACACATAAGAATACATACATCACACTTTACACTATGTTTTAG